TCATTCAGATATTGAAATGGCAAAGGATGTAATCAATACTAACAGCAAGCAAACATACTATAGTCAAGCCAGGCCGATAATTACATACCCTGCACCATGTCTCTTAATTAATAATAACCCAAAACTTATACATTATTTTTATATAAATGGAGAATACCCAAACGTCAACGTCTGGTCTAAATTTAACTTACATGTCAAAGATTACTAGTTGCCTGCGTTATAAAATCCACAAATTAGCCTTTGTCGACATAAAGGGGTTTACTTTCATGAGAGTCCCTATATATGGTGCTAACTAAAAAAAATATCTACGTAATCCCATTTTTTATATGTTTAACTTTCCAAGGACAAATTTCCATCAGAAAATATTAATTCTTGGCTCTTTTTGGTTTATGGAGTCTCACATTCAACCTTTACATTGGTTGAGATCCAGCAAACGGATCCGTGGTCTAAGTTCGGTATTCCATATTATCACTGAATAAATTACCACCAAGTATTGAAAATTATGCCTTCTTCCCATTTAAAGATTCAATTTCCGTAGAATCGGTTATATGGCACGGGGTTCAAAATATTGTCCCATTCAAAGCTTTGACTCCAATTTAGAATGCCGAATTACTGTTACTAAGCGACTTTTATAAGTTACACTACTTACTTATACCACTTGCGGTGCAAAGTATCTTAACTATGTAACATCCAGAAGGCGTGAAGATAAACTCACTATTCATTATACCGAATCATTTTCTAAACCGGCCGAAGCATGCCTGTCGGTCCGATGTCTGTCCATATAATTCATGTGCTCAACAATTTTTGAAATATTTTAATGCAATTTGATACAATGATGTGTTTTGGTCCAACAATGAGCCCTATTAAAAATAGTTCCGATCGGCCCACTTTTTCAATTGCAGTTTTCAACATTTTTCCACAAAACTTGCTGCGTAATAATATTTCATTATGCTAACTTGGTATGTTAAATATGGTTCGGCTGGGACCGTTGTTTGATTCCCCATCCACATGACCGTTTCTACGAAAACGGGATCTTCATTTAGTAAAAAGTCTTATTTTCAATATTTCATGAAGAAGAATGGTGCATAATATTAAGTTGACAAGGGAACCGATCGTATCGAATTTGTACCACGTAAGTCTTTTTTTTGGATACCATCTTACATAAGGATTTTCATGGAATGTAACTTTACGTACGTTCGTATAAATTTAATATGTCCTGCACCACAAGTAGTATAGGGTATAAACAGTGCTTTGAGATAACAGAAGAAGTTCTAAAACTAGTTTAGGATGAAATCAAGGTAATTAACTTTATTAAGATTGGTCCACATCGGCTCGGTGTTTTTGGCCCGTTCACATAATTTGCAGTATTTTCTCACTAAAGTAAATACAGTATTAGGCAAAACGGTGTAGAGCTTATATATGATCGCATTACAAATCGGGAATCACGGAACGTTTTGCAGACAAAGCAATATATAACTTAGCTCATTCCTTACTGTTAGTTTAATGAATTTTTAAGTCATTCCAGATCACTAGAACATTTGTATTATGCGGACCCTTCTAATGAACTTTCGCTTCGCGACTTGCCATTGATTTGCTTAAAAATTATACATTGATTAAGGCCGAAGAAATTTTGTTTTACTTTCTTGCTCACCCAAAATTCCCACTTGCCCTCATCGGCGAGAATTCGGAAATGTATAAGCTCAGCCATTACATGGTGGACTAAATTCAAATACCATAGAAGAGTTTTTCCACTTCATTATCACATTATATAGTGAGCTTATCTAACTAAAACCTAAATATGACCGGCAATTGTTTTCATTGTTGTCAAGTTTTCGTTAATATTTTTCTCAGTGATAAATAAGATTCTGAACAAATGAATTTTAAAGCTATAATACAGATACAGTAAAAGCTCTTTATTCGCGGGTTATATGTTCCATAAATACGCCGTGAATACAGAAACCGTGAATACGGAATAGTAATTTATATGGGATTATAGGGAATATGTTCCTAGATGATAAAATAAAGAAAATCACATGTGATGTAGTAGAGCTTAAAGGCCTGGATTATTCCTTGGGCCAAAGGTTGAAGCAAAGCCGTCGTGGTGGGAGGTAAAAATGTCACTTTTATATTTGGATGCATAGTTTCAAGTTCGCGAGGATGACCTGGTGCATTGTCCAAAACTCGAAATGCTTCAAAGTCTAAATTCTGTTTTTTTTAAAAAGGTTTCAACTTAAGAAACAAAACAATTCCGGAACCAGTCACGAAAAAAATCCGCGAATAAAGAACTTTATGGCCGCGAATATAGGAATTGGGTCGCATTTTTTTAAATCCGTGAATAGTGAAACCGCGAATGCAGGAAGCGCGAATAAGGAGTTTTTACTGTACCTTTCCGATATAATGGCAAAGCTTCTGGAACTGATACTGCAGATGCAACTCCAAAATCGGGTCTTGGCGACGAGCGTGTAAAAGAAATGATTACATTTGGAATTTTTTATAAGACACAATGAAATCAACAACAACAACAACAACAACAGCAACAAACAACTGAAATAAATTAGTAACACTCAAATAGTTCTCAAGTAGTTTATATACAAACATAGTGCTAGCGTATTATAGAAAAAAGACACACTTCACCCATTATATAACAATACTATACACAAGTGCGAGCGTGCATCAGCAAATACAAGGTTTAAAAGCAGAAAAAAAAGAAGAAAATGAATAAGAAAAAAAAAAAAAAATTCACCTAACATTCCCAAACGTTCACAAGAATAACAAACTTTTGTGTACATATGCGTTTCGGTGTAAGAGTCTCCGTGTGAATGAATACCATCGTCAACATCTACTCAAGCGGGAAGGATATAACTACTCGAGTACATTCGTACACTAACCTTGTTCACATAGTTAGCATGTCAAGTGCGTAAATACACTCTACCATATTCGATATATGAACGTGTATTAATCAACATGCGGTATTTAGGTGTCAAAGGGGCATTTTTGTGTAACGCATGATGTCTGTGGATCAACACTGTCTGTCTATATATCTAACTACACTAACTTCAATGCTTCTAGGGTCACACCGAATTCCTGATTTAAGAGAATTGGAGGCACGTGTCATTGCTGAGCTAGTTCGGCAGATATGGGGGAATTCCAAATGTTTGTCTCACGGACACTCCACAGTCACTGTGCAGGTTGCAGCTGAAAGTAATACACCTGTTTTACCCTCGCAGCAGCAATCCGACGGATCAAACCTGCTTACCGTGGACCATTTTACACCCTAACCCACCTATGGTGTCCTTCAATGATTTTTTATGGGATAGATGTATGTATATACAGCAAAAAAAAAAAAAAAAAGAAGAAAACATGTTTGTTTTGGAAATGGCAGACCGATGCAGATGCGAAATATAATAGAAATATACTAAGCATGTGCGGCTGTTTCTACAAAATCAATAGCTTTTTGTTTAATTCTGTTGTTTTTGTTCGTGCAATAATAACAAAAAAAAATAAATAAAATTTTTCTGAAGGTCTACAAGAATAACAATCTTTTATACGTATATACATAACCGATAGATGGCGGTATATTCAACTTTTACAGTACACAGAAGGAAGCTTTAGATATTCCATAAGTACATTTATGATGGGTATCAAGTTCGGAATCGATTAAACGTGTTCATCTGCCCGTCTGTCCGATTGTTAATTGGCCGCAAAAATTAAGTTATCGGCTCTCAATTTGGCAGAGACGTGTCGGCGCGGCACGTTTATAGTGCAACATTAACTAAAATCATTTTTACCCCATCACTTATCAATTACAACAAAAATTTTCCAGTATGGAGTACTGTATGGTATAGAATAAGGCTGTGACTTTTTCATTTGAAAGTCGTGTCTCTAATCTACCCACAACTATATAAATTATCGCATTAAACTCTGGTTCTGTATGGAAAAAAAGTTCGTTTGAGGGAAACTTTACTTTCCCTGCTTAATTTTTTACCGCTGGTAACACACATTCAAGAAAACATATCAAAAATCACATAAGATATAAATAGTCTTATGGCGGTTTTCAATACATTAACTCTAACTGAAGGTTTGCTAGCTATTAATTTGCTAACTATTAATTAGATTATTTAGATTGATTTTTTCAACTGTTATAAATGATTTTTTTTTATTTTTTTTATGTGTTTCGTTGATCGTATGACTGGTTTTATCAAATGTGTTCTTTTACTGGTTTTTGCAGTCAAAAAAAAAATGTCAATGAGAGTATAAATGAACCTCACGAGGTAGATTTGCTGCTAATTGAAAGTTAAATATATTTAATTGTTAGAGTCATTTTTATGAAAACGACTCTTAACACAAATGTGATCGATAGATGAGAATCGTAGTAATCTTTATCAAGCATGCGGATAATGAACGAGAAATTAATTGCAGTTTAAACCATGGTCGATGATAGCTAGCTAGAGTTTAATCTCCAGTTATACAACTGACTATATGGCTAAATTTAGTTTATATTTTCGCTTCTTTGTTACACGTCTGCATTATTCAATCGTAGCGCAAAAAAAAAAAAACAAGAAATTTCGATAAATGATCCCGTTCTCGAAAAAAAAAACACTAAAAATAATCCTCACAGAGGGACATACGTCACATACATTCACATTAAAGCCTGCGACATAAACTAACGTTTATATTCTTCCGAAACTCATTCATACGTATATCGTGCAAGGCCTATGATGTTATATATAGATCTGAATGCGAAAGAAAGAATTAAGCCCACACAACACGAGTTTCCCGACCATTCATTTATTTGTGCGTGTGTTTGCTTTTTTTTACTCCGAAATTGGTATATATGTAATAAATTTATGTAATACAGCAACGTGCATAGCTCATAAGAAGGTAGAAAGCATTCGCATTGCTTGTGCAATTAAAATCTCTTTTTTGAACGATTCTCCATTCAAAACGAAAGTCGAATTATTTGTAAAAAATCTACTCATTTTATTACTAATAACTTGCAGTGAAACAAGCGCTTAACCCGTGTAATTGCCTCGTGGAAACGCTGCTCTCATCATACCACAGGGTATCGCATATATACGTAAGTAATATTGCGGTTTTTATGGTGTATTTTTTTTTGGAAACTTTGCTAATTTGCGTAAAATGTGTACAAGTCACGCAAATTAATTATATTTTTAGAATTCAAAAAAGCAATCAATTCATTTTAATGCGTTTTGTAATTCATAATAGACAATATTATGCATGGACACACAAGTGTTTAGTTATGCATATTATCGAATGTCTAAGGGGTTTCTTTGTAGGTATTCAGCGTTCATTGAGTTGCGTTTCTTTATTACATGCCCCGTTTCAACGCCCCACGTCAAATGCGTTCAATGCTTTCAATTTGTTGTGAAGGCACACAACTCTGCCCGCTAATTGCCTTTCATCATTTACTGACACTAATAAAACAGCAAATCGTAATTCAAGAAGATCGCTGTATAACCATAACAGTCCACATGTATTGCAAACAAAGCACTTGAAATGCCTGCTCAATATTTCAATGCGTCATGGAATGCTGATGGTGTTGATTTAACTGCTTAAATAAACCTTTGATATGTCTTCCAAATAACGCACTTGCCGGCGACGAAAAAGTAGGTCATATCTCGCGATAATTGAGCATAAATCCCATCGAAAGCTGCTTCAGAAAATACCAGTACATTAATGAAGCGCTATGGAACTTAAGATGCAAATCGCTTGCAAATGATAGCCTGTAAGGCTTCTAGAAAACTAACGTGGCTTAGCTGCAAGCGATATTGTGTATTCTTTTGTAGTGTTGCTGACTTAGAGACATCTCGTTAACTTTTATATCCAGGAATTCCATGAGTAATAGTAACCCAAGAGTCCGCATGAAATTGAGAATGTTTTTTCTAAGGCTAACGAAGCTTTCTCAACTCAAAATGACGAACTAGTTGAAAGGAATGAAAGAATCGGGCATTCTTTATGTGAAAAAGTTACATGAAAATCGGTTCTTATCAGTTTCGTATTTATAAATAGAATATGTAATTTATTGTAACTTTTATCTGATTGTAATATATACGCTTATGGATGCAATCATTCGCGGATATCATTCGAAAATGTGATTTTTTGATGCGCTTCAAAAGTGTTTAAACTTAGCCTCATTTTCAGCCCCAGTATCCAAGATACGGTAAAATCGACCTTAAGATGATATGGTCAGCTTTAAGGAGAAACCAAAAGAAGTCCAAAGTCTAGTTCCTCACCTTACTTCTAAATAACATTTTCTTTACTTCGTACTGGTTCTCTGACATCTCTAGGATATTGTTTATTGTTCATTACGTAAAGTTTGTTGCCTTGAGAAGACAAGTGTTAGCTTCTGATATTGACAATGGATGACAATCACTCATACATAGCTGCAGGTGTAAAAATAAGATAGAGGGTTAAAATTTAGCATTGTTCTTACGACGATAATGTCTAAATGTCTTTAACTTAATTAAATAATTGACATTTACTATACCAACTGCTTTATCCAGAGCTTACATTATTGAAGGCGTTAGTATACATAATGTGCACATGCCTTCATATAAAATGTTTATATGAAATTTATATGAAATTTATTATAATAAATTTTTCGAGAGAGATATAAATTCCAAGACTAAAATCTTAAAGCCATAGCATCTAAGACTATCGGCATTATTGAAAACTCCACCGCAAGCGAGATTTGAACCCACAATCATTGAGTTGTTAGTCGAGATGCATTGCCCTTTCGGCCATGCAGGCGAAAGACTATGAAGTAAAAGTTTCATTAAAAGTTGATCTATTTAATACGAATAGCTTTATATATTCAGGCTATCAACTAGACCAGTTCTATTGTGAAACAAGCATCGTGTAACCTTTCTGCAGTGAATGTTATATTAACAAAAGCGAATCGATTCGAAAGCAGTTCTAATTTAATGCGATTTGTAATCGTAGTTGGCATGCCGTGGTCTATTCACATAGCCTCTAATACTCCCCTGAGTTTCTGGAGAATACAGTGGCTACTGAAATTTACTTCCTTATCCGTTTTTATGCAAAATGGACGGACGTAAGCAAATTTTCATGCCAAGATAGTTTAATCGTTTCCGTAGCTTGACCTGCGTTTTTTTTTTTTTTACCTTTTAAAGTTAAGTTAAAAACACAGCCAAACGCAATGTCATAAATGACATCTATTTCTTTAAGCTTTGTTATATAATGAACAACAACTTGCAAACAACTGAAACTAGCTTCGTTAAAGAATCAATATCTAAGTCATCTATACCTGAAATTTCGGGTAAATTGAACGTGTCAGGTACATTTTATAAAGCAACCTATTTCAGCGAAAAGGAATTTCTTTGTACACTTATTATAATAGATGGTTGGATGTATTTTGGTCAGCCACCTCTATTGGTGAAAATCGTAGTGTAATTCGAAGAGTCAACGTAAGCGACGGTTCAATTCGATGATTTTGATCTTTCTCCACGTAAAATAACAGTTTTTCATTAAGTATTATTGAGTTATTCAGTGTATGCAGACGCTAATCATGGAGCATTCAAAACTGCATTTTCGACATTTGTTACATTTGTTGTATGATTTGAAGAAATCTGCTCTCCATCCATGAAATCCATTAAATTCTCAAAGAATTTTGAAACAGTGCATTACAAGCTGCAGATGTCTATCGACATCAGTTGAACAAATTGAACTATGCGTAGTCGCAAAACGTCTCTTGTTCAAATCGATGCGGTGAAGTTATGGCTGGCACGCGAATTCGAAATGCTGAAGAGGCGCGAAATTGACTTGATGACTAGATCACTGTCAAAACAATATCGTTCATCCGACACGCCATCGCCATGATGCCAGAAAGTTGTAGAAAATTATGGAAAATATTTTATTTAATATATATCGTAATAAATGCGTTTTTCAACTGAAAAACTTATCAAAACGCATTCAAGCATCGTACGTTCATTTCTTACTCATATTCATATCCATCACCAAAGGCTGAGCGGTTTATTCACTTTGTCAACACGTTCGCAACGCTTAGAAGGAAGCTTCAAACATCCCACAAAGTATATATATGTTCTTGATCAGCATCAAATTCTCAATCGATTTAAGTATATCCGTCTATCCATCTTTGTAATGTCTGGGGACTCCAAAATCGACTTCAAATTTAGCAGAACGATCCAAATTGGTCCAGGCAGACGCCTACAGTACCATGTAAACTGAGGTCACATCTGTTTTTCAAAAGTAATAGAAAATTGGGTTTTTACTCAAAAATGGCAATAATTGACCACGCCTACCCAATGTTATAGAGTGTAATTATCTTTATAAAGCGCAGAAGTTAGCTACAAAAAATTCGTAAAGTGTATAAGTTCTAAGCCAATTTCAGATTTGGAATGAACTTAAGCATGTTCATCTATTCAGCTGTCCATCTGTCCGTCTGCGCATCTGTGCAGTGATAAACATTCTCCCGTTTGCAAAAATGTAGAGATCGCTTACAAATTTACAAAAAGAATTTGAAAGTGACCAAAACTATTCGAAGAAAAACGCCTACAACACTCACATGCTTGTGTTTTCACAAAATTATTGTAAAAAAATACGCTAACGGTAATGGGTGTAGGAAATTCGAACATAACCAAATATTATTTTCTTACTTGTTTGTTTTTAAATTACTTCCGCGTCTGATAGTAGACAGAGTTTTGTTGTTGTAAAAATTCGACATTTTAATTAATTAAAAAATAATTACGTTAAAATCGATTTTTTATTTATTTTTCTTATTTGTAGCAACACATCATACATACTAAGAAATATGTAAGTCTCTCTATCCAGACGATGAGTGACGTCATGTCAGTGAATTGAAAGGAATAATTAAATTTCAATTGCTTACGCCTATCGCAGACCTTTCCAATTAGATGACACCCACATATCTTTATCTACACATACATAATGTATTAGATGTAGAAGAGCGCAAGAGTCTGGGCAATATATCCTATTTTTGTTTGTTTCTATCTATATCCACAAACATAGGAGCGACTTATATTCATTTCATCAAAATGTTTGCAATATTTAGAAGGAATTTTCAAAGGCTCTATAAGGCATATGTAAGCAATATACATCTCTATACCATTGGATTGGTGTAAAATTGTAAGGCGAATGATAGATATGTCCCACCGTCTACTCGCTTGTGCAATGTCTGTGGTAAGCATTCTCTTGCTAGTATGCGGCTTGGCATTGAAAATGATGTAGATTGGTGAAAAGACACACCTACAAAAATAAGACATAATAACAGGCCATCGCAATTTTCGGGGTTTTTGGCTCATTACTCTTTGATTACCATAAAAGTGGGAATAGTATCGAAATATCGTTTTTTGCGACTTTTTTTTTAACATAGAGACATGAGTAGTGGTTGTAACAACTTCGACTACACCCGAATATAATTTGCTTCTTCTTTTTTCTTTCGAAGTTTGTTTTTATTCTTTCGCCCTCGTAAGGAGTTTATAAGAAAAAAAAATAAGCAAAAAAAATATTAATCTTTCATTACTTCTGTGTTTTTACACAACCACATCACTCGTATGTTTGGACAAGTAGATTTGAAAATTGTGGAAAAACGCATTACTCTTGTGGACAGAGACTTTGTTGTTTTCTTTATTGCATTTAAAGTTAGAAGCTAATAAATACGTATATGTCATAAATAGACAGTTCGGATGTTTGAGATTTCTGCAATCAGAATTTTAATAAACAGCAAACAGTTGTATATGTTCTTACATTACATGTAACCCATGTTATGTTCTCCCTCATTCCACTTAGAGTTGAACAAATAAATGCATGAAATTTAACTTAAATTGTTTTACAAAATTCGATGACAATGAATGCTATTGAAACAATTATATGTTTACTTTCATTTTGAAAGACAATATAATTGATTTCAAAAAAAATACTAAAGCGTCTTTTCTATGAAGATTCATCGTCATAGTCAACTCAATCCAATCAATAGATTTATGTTTGGCTTAAACATAGTCTTCTTTAATGTAAATGTAAATTTAAGTGCAAAACAAGTAAGAACATTGTAATCGA